TCTCTCTCTCTCTCTCTCTCTCTCTCTCTCTCTCTCTCTCTCTCTCTCTCTCTCTCTCTCTCTCTCTCTTGCGTCCTCGCTCAGACTCGCATGGGCTGCACTCGTCACCTGTGGGGCACTGGCATCGGTATCTCGGTCATCGTCGCGGACGACGACCTTCTTGCGAGGCTGTGCCTTGCGGCGTCCGTCCCACTTCGGGGATTTTCTAACTGTCTTTTTTTTTTGGGTCTTCCGGGGCCGCATCGGGGCGCTGTTGGGGACTCCTCCATGGTGACCTTCCTCTTTCTACCTGTCCTGCTCTTTCATAGGTTGTCATGCTGCACAGCATCATTCTGCGCAGGGAATGGGGGTGTGCCGATTTCCTCTGTAGCCTGCTGCTCCTCCAGCTGCTCCTGCTGCTGGTCACTCATTGCGGCCTGCTGGCTGGTGTTTCAATCCCCCACTTCCATTTGTTGCTCCACATGTGGGCGGGGCCTGCGCATGTACACCACACCCCCTACGGGCTGCTCTTTCCCTGCCTCTGAAGCCTCCTCCTGCTGTTGCCCGGTCTTCTCCATCGCTGTCTCAATAACCCCCATCTCCTGCTGCGCTCATGGTCTGTCCGCTCGCTGCCCTTCGTCCCCACCTTGTTGTACCACATTCTCTTCTTTGTGCATTGCAATGTTCTCCCCGTCCTCCATGTCCACCTCCTTCACCAGCTCATCGGTGTGCTTGTTGTGTTGTGCAACGCGTCTCTCCCTCTCCCTGCGGGTAGGGAGCGCAGCACGACGGACCTCCTCCGCACGCATTGGCTTGTCCACAAGTTCAGCATCCCTGTCTGCCATTGCCTTAGCACGTGTGGCCTCCTCCTCGTCCGGATCGTCGTGGGGTTGCAACAAAAACTCAACATCTGTATCCACCACATCAACAACCGGCATGGGCTCCACCTCAAGATCCCTCTCTCGTTGCCGCGTACGCCTGCCAACATATGAGGTTGTCGGGACAGCTGGCGCCTCGCGAAGCTCGAAATTGGAGTCCCCTGCCTCCTCGCTGCGGTCCTCCGATGAGGACTCGTTCCAACACTTGCCCTTCCACACGAGATCCTCGAGGTCGCTGTTGCCGCTGGAGTCAGAATCAACAAGCTCCTTGGGAATTCTGCCTCTTGGAGCCTTCACCATTCTCCTTTGCCTCCTCTCCTGCTCCTCTTTCTCTTCGGGATCCTGAGCAGGCCCCGACAACACGGATCCGTTATTGCTCACTGGCTCCATCAACGACTTGAAGAAGGAGCCCGCTGTCCCTATGGCTTCGAGCACGCAGCAACTGCATGTTCCAATGAATGTAGACCAGCTTCTCGAGGGACTCCGAGGACAGGCTGTTCCCTCTCTTAGAGTGGACGAAGTCCATGGACGCCCTGTTGCGCTCGGCAGGGGTGGCAGTGATCCACATGCCCATGACCTTCAGTGCAATTTTTTGAAGGTCTGGTACATCTCCGCCGTGTGCTGCCCACTAGTCCGAAGGGGTCAACCTTGAAGCATCGTCCTTCGCAACCCTTTTCCACATGGTCTCGTCTTTGCACTTCTTGGGGGCTTTCCCTCACACCACATTCGATGGCACTTGCTTCCCAGGCTCCTTGTGAAACTCCATCAGATCCCCCCATATGTCTGAATGTGCCTTGCTGTTCCACTCGCCCCCGACCTGCCTCAACAAAAAACCCATTGCATTCTGCACCAGCGCATTGTCCTGATGGAAGAGCCAACGTGGATTTCTCGGCTGGGGGTCGAGAAGGAATGCAGATGCGTGGACCGGCTGCCTCATCATCTGCATGCGATCCCGCACCTTCTCCATCACATCCTCCCGCTCCTTCTTTGTGAGCACAACACTTGTCAGCCTCCAAGCAACGAGCTCGTCGTACTGCACAAGATTTGTTGGAGAGGTGCCTTCGGCGTCCATCCTCTTCAACAACTGGTACACTGGGCGCATGATGGCGACAATCTTCTTCCCTTGTGGCCACCAAGACTCGGACCTCAGTGTAGTACACAAGGTCAGCCTTTCTGCGCAACTTTTCCCCTGACCATCGCAATGATCTCCACTTTGCAGCCTCCCTTCCGTCGACCATCTCTGTCAGGACACTCTGTCTGCCAAGCGTTGCAGCATCATGTACACGGATCCAAAGCGGACCTCAGTGGGATGAAGCAGGGACAAGGTGTCATCAATGGACATCATCAGCCCGTGGGTGGCATGATGATTCCTGATGAACTTCACGATCGTGTTTGCAGTTTTCACAGTGCCCTTGATCCAGGACAGGTTTGCCAAGTCCTTCAGCAGGAGACTGCAACAATGTGCCCCACAAGGAACCCAAGGAATCCTGGCCACCTCCTTGTCCTTGTGTCGTTCTAGGATCTGGGCAGCCTTCTTATTCACCTCAGCGTTGTCGGTGCAGATGGCGTTGATGCGGTTCAAGCCTATCTCCCTCATGACCTGCTCCCACAACCTCACCAATGCTGGGGCATTCTTCTTCCTCCCCGTCATTGTCACCGTCGCCACAAGGATTGCCCCCTGCTCCCCGCCACCAAGAAGTTCATCACTGGCCGATTCTTGCAGTCGGTTGACCCACATCCGGACGTGTCCCAGCATGCAGTCAATGAAAGCGCCTCCTTCTGGATCTTGAGATAGATGGCATCCAACATGACCAATCCTCATGTGGTTGTACGAAGGGAGCTTCACCTTTGGCCTCACAACCTCCAAGTACACAGCATGTAATGTCTGCGTCGTGTCCATATTGAGGAAGTTGAATGCGATGCCAAACCTGAACATGGCCTCCGCCCATGCGATGTCCAGTTTTTTCTGCGCCTCGTTGTCCACCCACCTCCGTACAGTGGTCTGTCGGGTGGCGACCACTCGTGCTGTCGACCCTTGCCCTTTATCACTGCCTCCACCCGCCGCTGCACCCTCCCCTCCGCTCACCTGGCCCAGTGCGGCAGCAGACAGGTTCACAGTGCGGGCAACAGACCGGCCAGCAACAGGCGGTGGCTGGGGCTCGTCTATTTGGGGATCATTGAAGCCTTCTTCTCTAGTCGGCCCATGATCACGAAGTACTTCTCACTCAGCACCGGGTCCTTCGTAGTTCTTCAGCAAGTACTTCGTGTTCTTGTCATTCGGCTGGATCTTCTTGCCGGCAGCGACCAAAGTGTGGACTATCTCTCCCGTCCGCATTGCACATGGCTTCATGGGCTTTAGGAAATGTTCGAAAGCCTTGTTTGTCGATCCCCTGAAGATTCTGGAGCACAACCTGCACCTGATCCAGTACTCCCCATGCCCTTTCGAAGTAGCAACCTCCTGCCCCTGCTTCCAAACTGTGTTCTTCAACCGCAGTTTCGCATGTTCTATCTAGCCCTCCCCATCAAACAAGCTCGGGTCGGTCCCTGGTGTGGGCTCCTTCCCACCACAGCACTTGCGGTGCACACTGTAGACTTCGTCCTCTGCGTATTTGGTCCAGGCTTGTCACAAGAAGGCCCTGCAGATCCTTTCATCTTCTCTGCTGCAGTTGCTCTTCTCCGACTAACTCCTCCTGCATTGCCCCCCGTCATGGCCACCGGTGGGAGAGTAGAAGGGGGAGGACGGCGAGGGACGAAGAAGAAGAAGAAGAAGAGAAGAATAAATGAATTAAAAAAAAAAAAAAAAAACGTTGCGTATGGCTATGGCTACCAGGAATAAGAAGAAGGAGAAGGAAGAAGGAGAAGGAAGAAGATGAAGAAGAAGAAGAAAGAAGAAGAAGAAGAAGAAGAAGAAGAAGAAGTGCCTGCTATGCGGCTCTGCTATGTGGCTATGGCTACCGTAGGGGAAGGAGGAGGAGGGGAGTGTTATGAACTTGGTTGTCTGACGATTTTCATCGCCACTCACACACAGACACTCTCACACACGCCCATACATGCATAAGACGAAGGGGAGAGGAGACAGAGTCCAGACCGTACACAGATCAAAATAGGCAGCGGAATACAGCTATGCACAGGTGGGGAGAAGACACAGTGTTCCTCACTCTCTGACAGTACTCCCAACAACCAATCACAAGAAGAAACCTGCAAGGATAACAATCGGATTCACACCATACATGCAAGCGCACGTCGTGTGGGCGGTTCCCTACGTGCGGCGCACGCGCCCAACCGATCCCGTGCGGCGCACGACGTGTGCGGAGAACGACCCGTCACCCCCCTCAGAAAAAAAAAAAAGGCAGGGGTCGAAATGGTGCGTTTGAGGCCCCCCGCGAAAATTATAAGCGAGATGAAAAAAAAAATTACAGGAGTATTGCCTCACCTTGCTCCTCCTCCCCTTCCTCATCCTCCATGTCTCCTCCTCCCTTCTCCTTTTCGTCTCCTCCTCCTCCTCCTGTTCGTCCTCCTCCTCCTGCCCTTCCTCATCCTCCTTGTCTCCTCCTCCTCCTCGTACTTCCTCATCTTCCATGCCTCCTCGTCTCCTTCCCTTCCTCGTGTCCTCCCCTTCCTCGCCGTCCATGTCTCCTCCTCCTCCCACTCGTCCTCCTCCTCCTGCCCTTCCTCTTTTCCCACCGTCCATCTCTTCTCCTCCCCCAATTCTGTTGGTAATATTGGAATGTAATCATTATCTACAGCTAAGAAAATTTCCAGCAAAAAGATAAGTCCAATAATACCACCTACAGGCATATAACGTAATACATTTTCATGAATTTCTGCTATCTTTATATTTAGCATCATAACCACAAATAAAAATAGAACAGCAGTAGCTCCTACATAAACAACTAAAAAAATCATAGCAAAAAAATCAAGACCTAATAACGCAAGTAAACCTGAAGTATTACAAAATACTAAAATGAGAAATAAAAYGGAATGAACTGGGTTTCTAGCACGCCTCCTCGTTGTCCTCGCTATCCTCATCGTCCTCCTCATCCACATCCTCCTCCTCCTCTCCATATCCCCCCCTCCTTGCATTATCCCATCTTCCTGTCATACGCCCCCCTGCTCCCCCTCCCAAAAAACGATAAAATAATAATAATAAAAATAAAAAACCTGCACGATTCTGCACAGGCACCCCCCGCACGGAACTCCGTACGGAACTCCGCACGAATGTGCGGCTCGTGCGGTTGCAAGTATGATTCACACTGATGATGAGCCAATTAAAACCAAATATTGTTACAGAGTTTGTTCCAGTATCTCGCCACTTTCAGAACCCCACACTCCACTCTCTACCCTATACCCAGTCAGTAGCGCAACACCGAAATGGCCTCCCAAAGGCCAGCGCCAACCCACCCAGATGAAGAACAGATCCTGCGATGAAGTCTTCAGTGCCAATGAACAACTCTGACGAAGAAACAGGCAGCTATGGCTGCCGCCACCCACGAATACTCAGTGAAGAGCCTCGATATAGCCCTGCCAGGCGCAGATACCCTCAGGGGTAGATGCGTTGAGGATGCCCCAGCTTTGGCAACCTTCTGAAGGCCGGCTATGGCCGCCGTCCACGGCAATGGTCTCAGGATGCCGCGTGTAGACCATCACCACCACCAACTTGCTTGGCTTCTCCAAACGCTGCTTCGCAAGAATGAACAGCCAAAAGTCCTCAATCGATTTCCCTAAACTATTAATAGATCTACACTACCCTAGCCTAGACCTAGACCTGACTGATTGGACCGACCGGTACCGTTCAGTTTTGGCCTCTCGGCCTCTTCCTACCCGGCTATAGGCTATAGGACCGTCGATCGGTATAGGCCTTTCGGGCCTGTCCGTCCTAGGGGTAGCCCGGGTCTGCTATTCGCAGTCAGGGTAACTGTAGGAAATCCGGGTTAGTGCTGGGCCTATATTTCCCATAATTGCAGATATGTCCCTCATGAATTTTCCCACAGGTAGGTCTCTCGGTTAGCCCTCAGCCAAACAAAATTATGGATCTGACCTACTGCTGTACTGTACAGCCTCGCAGTCAATCTCGGCAGTAAAATCAGCAAGCCATTGCAGGAGAGGTTGAAGAAGAAAATGAAGAACAAGGAGTAGGGGGGAAGGAGGTAGATGAAGAAGAAGAAGAAGAAGACGAAGAAGAAAAAGGAGAAGATGAATGACATAAGTTAAAAAAAAAACAGCATTGCCTATGGCTACCAACAGCGGGGACAAAAAAAAAGAAAAGAAGTGGATAAAGGAGGAGGAGTGGAGATGTAGAAGAAGCAGACAATGGAGGAGGAGGCGGGGGGATGGGGGGGTTAGTAGAATTACATGAAGAACATTAACTTAAGGAAAAAAAAAAAATGGCTGCGTGCGGCCGGTGGAGAAGAAGAAGCACAAGAGGAAGATCAGGGAAAAAAAAAGGAGGTTCGCATGTGGGTATGGCTACCATACGAGGAGGAGGAGAGGGAAGGTAGAAGAAGAAGATAAAGGAGGAGGAGGAGGGCGGAGGTAGAAGAAGAAGACAAACAAACAAACAAAAAAAAGTGTGACACTGGTGGAGAAGAAGACGAACAAAAGAAAGATCAATGATTAAAAAAAAAAAAATATTGGCGTGTGGCTATGGATACCGTAGGAGGAGGAGGAGAGAGGTGGATAAAGAAGATGGACGAGGGGGGAGGAGAGAAGAAGAAGAAGGAGACGAAGGTGGGGGGCTGGGGCTTTTTTGGCTGAGCCAGCGGGGGAACAGTTTCGCGAACTGCTCTCTCTCTCTCTCTCTCTCTCTCTCTCT